CCCCATCTCCTACCTACTATCCTCATCCCGCCCCCTTGACCTGTCCGTCCTCCCTGGACTGACCTATCCCCTCCCTAACTCCCCACCTACACTCACCTTTACTGGCTCCATCCCCACCTCTTTGACCTGTCTGTTTCCTCTCCACCTATCTTCTCCTCTATCCGCCTCCCCCTCTCTCCCTATTTATTTCAGAACCCCGTTCCCCTCCCCCATTTCTGATGAAGGGTCTAGGCAGGAAATGTCAACCTTCCTGCTCCTATGATGCTGCTTGGCCTGCTGTGTTCATCCAGCTCTACACCTTGTTATCTCAGATTCTCCAGCATCTGCAGTTCCTACTATCTCTGATTTTAACGAGATCGTCCAGTTGGCACTGTTATAGAGTCACAGGGATAGACACCAAGGAAGCAAATGCGTTGGTCCAACTCGTCAATGCAAAGCAGATATCCTAAATTAATCTAGTTCCATTTACCAGCATGTGGCCCAAATTCATCTAAACCTTTAATGATAACATATCCATCCAGACGCCTTTTAAATGTTGTAAACGTACCACTTCCTCTAGCAACTCATTCTATACATGCAGCACCCTCTGCATGAAAAAGTTGACTCTTAGATCCTTTTTAAATCTTACCCCCCTCACTTTAAACCTATGCCCTCTAATTTTCAACTCTACCAGCCTGGGAAAAAGACCTTGTCTGTTTACCCTATCCATACACCTTATGATTTTATAAACCTCTATAAGGTTACCCCTCAGCCTCCAGCGATCCAGGGAAAGTAGTCCTACTCTATTCAGCCTTTCCCTATAGCTTAAATCCTCCAACCCTGGCAACATTCTTAAACCTTTTCTGAACCCTTTCAATTGAGGCAGCACTGCTGCCTCACAGCACCAGGGACCCGGGTTCGATTCCACCCTCGGGCCACTGTCTGTATGGAGTTTGCACATTCTCCCTGTGTCTGCGTGGGTTTCCTCCGGGTGCTCCGGTTTCCTCCCACGGTCCAAAGATGTGCAGGCCAGGTGGATTGGCCATGCTGAACTGCCCATAGTGTTCAGGGATGTGTAGATTAGGTAGGTTACAGGGCGATGGGTCTGGGCGGGATGGTCTGAGAGTTGGTGTGGACTTGCTGGGCCAAAGGGCCTGTTTCCACATTGTAGGGATTCTGTGATTCAATTTCACAACATCCTTCCTAAAGAGACCAGAATTGCATGCAGTATTCCAGTAGTGGCCTAACCAGTGTCCTATACAGCCAATAACATGACCTCCTAATTCCTATACTCAATGCACTGACCAATAAAGCAAGCATGCCAAACATCATCTTCACTATCCTATCTCCCTGTGACTTCATTTTCAAGGAACTATGAACTATTAAGGTCTCTTTGTTCAGCAGTACTCCTCAGGTCCTTACCATTAAGTGTATAAGTCCTGCCCTGATTTCACTTTCCAAAATGCAGTACTTCACATTCATTTTAATTAAATTCCATCTGCCACTCCTCAGCCTATTGGCCCATCTGATCAAGGTCCCATTGTACTCTTCACTGGCCACTACACCTCCAATTTTGGTGTCATCTGCAAGCATACTAACCCTACTTCCTATGTTCACTTACAAATCACAAAAAGCAATGGACTCAGCACCGAGATAACAAGAACTTCAGATGCTGGGTCAGAGATTACAAAATTCCGTATCCAAATGGCTAGTTCTCCCTGTATTCCATGTGATCTAACCCTGCTAACCAGTCGACCACGAGGAACCTTGTCGAAGTCCATATAGATCACGTCCACCGCTCTGCCCTAATCAATCCTCTTTGTTACTTCAAAAAAATCAAGTTAGTGAGACATGATTTCCCACACAAAGCCATGTTGACTATCCCTAATCAGTCCTTGCCTTTCCAAATACATGGAAATCCTGCCCCTCAGGATTCCCTCCAACAACTTGCCCACCACTGATATCAGGCTCACCAGTTTATAGTTCCCTGGCTTTTCCTTACCACCTTTCTTAAATAGTGGCACCATATTAGCCAACCCCCAGCCCCGCAATCACTTCCCTAGCTTCCCACAGAGTTCTAGGATACACGTGATCAGGTCCCAGGGATCTATCCACCGTTATACATTTAATACATCCAGCACCACTGCTTCTGCAAAAAGGACATTTTTCATGATGTCGCTATTTATTTATCCATGTTCTCTATCTTCTATATCCTTCTCCACAATAAACCCTGATGTGAAATACTCATTTAGTATCTACTCCATCTCCTGCGATTCTACATAGAGATGGCCTTGCTAATCTTTAAGGGGCCCTATTTCTCTCCCTAGTTACCCATTTGACCTTAATGTATTTGTATAATTCCTTTGGGTTCTCCTTAACCCTGTTTGCCAAAGCTATCTCATCTCCCCTTTTTGCCCTCCCGATTTCCCTCAAGTATAAAGGCAGCCGGTGTATACTTTTCTAGGGAATCATTCGATTTCTGCTGGCTATACCTGATATGCTTCCTTCTTATTCTCGACCAAAACCTCAATTTCTCTAGCATTCCCTGCACCTACCTGCCTTGCTTTTCTCCCTAACAGGAACATATTGTCTCCGGTCTTGCGTAATTTCATTTTTGAAGGCTTGTCATTTTCCGGTCATCCTTTTACCTGCAAACATCTGCCCCCATCAACTTTTGAAAGTCCTTGCCTAATACTGTCAAAATTGTTCTTCCTCCAATTTCAAACTTTAACTTTTAGATCCGGTCTATCCTCTTCCATCACTATTTAAAACCAAGTAGAATTATGGTCACTGGCCCCAGGGTGCTCCCCCATTGACACCACAATCATCTGCCCTGCCTTAGTTCCCAAGAGTACGTAAATTCACATACTGAATCAGAAAATTTTCTTGTACACACTCAAATTCCTGTCCATCCAAGCCCTTAACACTATGGCAGTCCCAGTCTGTTTAGAAAGTTAAAATCTCCTACCATAACCGCCATTCTTACAGATAACTGCGATCTCCTTACAAATTTGTTCCCAATTTCCCGCTGACTGTTTGGGGGTCTGTAGTACAATCCCAATAAGGTGATCATCCCTTTCTTATTTCTCAGTTCCACCGAAACAAACCGCCGGATGTATTCCCAGGAATATCCTCCCTAAACACAGCCATAATGTTACCCTTAATCAAAAATGACACTCCCCCTCCTCTCAATCCTTCCTAGAGCATCTGTATCCTGTAATGTTAAGCTGCCAGTCCTGTCCATCCGTGAGCTACGTATTTGTAATTGCTATGATATCCCAGTCCCATGTTCCCAACTATGCCCTGAGTTCATCTGCCTTAGCTATTAGGTCTCTTGTATCAAAGTAAATGCAGTTTAAATTTATCATTCCTACGTCACAGTCTACTCTTTTTCTGTCTGCCTGCCTGACTTACTCCTTTTCCCAACTATATCCATCCCCTCCACCCCTTACTAGTTTAAATCCTCTCGAGCAGCTGTAGCAAATCTCCCTGCCAGTATATTAGTCACCTTCCAACTCAGGTGCAATCTGTCATAGGATCATAGAATCCCCACAGTGCAGAAATAAGCCATTCAACTCAACAAGTCCACACCAACCGTCCGTTCGGCATCCCACACAGACCCATCCCCATCCCCATCAACCCTGTATTTCCAGAGGCTAATCACTTAATTTACACATCCCTGGACTTTATGGGCAATTTAGCATGGCCAATCCACCTAACCTGCAATCATTAGACTGTGGGAGGAAACCGGAGCACCCAGACGAAACCCGCATAGACACAGGGAGAACATATAAACTCCACACAGGCAGTTACCTAAGGCTGGAATTAAACCCAGGTCCCTGTTACTGTAAGACAATAGTGCTAGCCATAAGCTACCATGTTGCCCATGGTTTCCTTCTTATACAGTTCACTTCTACCTAGAAGAGATTCCAGTGATCCAAAAATGTGAATCCTTCTCCCCTGTATCAGCTGGTCAGCCATGCATTCACCTGCTCTATCCTCTTATTCCTACCCTCAGTAGGTCGTGGCACTGGGACTAATCCAGATATTACTACTACCCTGAAAGACCTACTTTTTAAATTCCTGCCTAACTTTCTATGTTTTCTCCTCAGAATCTCATGCTTTTCTCTTCCTATATCGTTAATTCCAATGTGCACAATGACCTCCTGCTGGTCCCTTTCCCCTTTGAGAGTAATCTGCACCTGCTCCAAAATAGCTTTGATCTTGGCTCCAGGAAGGCAACACACCATTCTGATGTCTCGCTGTTGGCCACAGAATCATCTGTTTGTGCCTCCCACTAGAGAGTCCGCTATCACGATCGATCGCTTGGAACCTGACACACCCCTCGTTACATTAGAGCCAGTCTCAGTACCAGTAACCTGGCTGTCAGCGCTCCATTCCCCTGAGAGTCCATCACCCTCTACATTTTCCAAAACAGCATACTTATTTGAGATGGGGATAGCCACAGGAGACTCCTGTACTATCTGCCTCCCTCCCTTACCTTTCCTGGAGGCCACCCATCTACCTGACTGTATCTTTGGTTTATCTCCGTCCCTGCAACTGCCATCCATCATACCCCCTACCTCCTCTAAATTCCTCATTGTCATTAACTGCCGCTCCAACCAATCCATGCAATCCTATAGGATTTGCAATCAAACAAACTTCCCACAGTCATAATTGTCAGTAACATGGAAACTCTCCCTAATGCCCCACATCCAACAGGAAGAGCATATCTCTCTACTTAAAGCCAGCTTTGCACCTTAACAATTTACAGACCCAGAAAATAGCTAGCTGAAGGTGCTGAGAAACATTTTCAGCACATCATAACATTTAAGTGTTTAGATGTGCACTTGCAAAGCCAAATCATATGATGCTACGGGCTAAGTGCTAGAAAACTGGATTAGTATAGTTAGGTGAGAGAGAGACAACACGGTGTAGAGCTGGATGAACACAGCAGGCCAAGCAGCATCAGAGGAGCGGGAAAGCTGACGTTTCGGCCCAGTGCTGCTTGGCCTGCTGTGTTCATCCAGCTCTACACCTTGTTGTCTCAGATTCTCCAGCATCGGCAGTTCCTACTATCTCTAGTATAGTTAGGTGCTGTTTTTATGACCAGCACAGACTCAATGGGCCGATGTGCCTTTTTTATTGTAGATCTCCATGCCGTTAGCCACACATTTTGCATTTACTGGTGGGACAGTTTCAGAGTTTTGTACCTGTGTATTCAAACAGCATACAATACCAGTTTACTCATCTCTTTCAGATGTTACTGTTGATGTACAAGGATATGGGAAGATTGCAGTGGATATTGCATATGGAGGTGCTTTTTATGCACTTGTGAGCGCAGATCATTTTGGTTTAGACGTTTGTTCCTCCAGGACCCGGGATCTTGTAGATGCAGCAGTAGCTGTCACTAATACTGTGAAAACACATGTATGTAAATGAGCCAAATATTGTTTTGACTGCTCAGTATTTCACCTTTCTGTATTCTGACTTCAAATACTTTTTGTCCCCTCATTTTCCCCCCGAGGCTAGGAAGGTATGCAAATTTCATCTGGAAATGTGACCATACTGCTCTTTTGATTAGGAATAGATCCCTCCTTTGTCAACCAGTTGTGTGCAACAAATTAAACAATACCATTGTGCGCTCCCGACAACAATTTTACTGAAATTATACCTTACAAACCTAACTGAGGGGCAAAACCTTTGATATTAATGAACATTTGGACAAGATTTAAACCTGCTGTTTATATTCAGCCTCCCCAGATAAAAAAGTTGTGGAAACTCAGCGTGAAGATCTGACAGCTGCAGACCTATCACCTGGTTTTGGAGTTGGCATAACTTGCTAGGCAGGCAACCTTACAAACCTGGGATAATAACCCAAGATTTGGTTAAAATATTTCCTGAATATCCCATAAAGCCTTAAGAGAGAAGGTATTTACACGTTTGAGGTGAGTCACACTATTTGCATCAGGGTTAATTCATCGAATCATAGGCTCCCTACAAGGTGGAAACAGGCCAATTGGCCCAACAAGTCCACACTGTCCTACCAAAGAGCATCCTGCCCTGACCGACCCCTGTACCTTTTCCTTGTAACCCCGCATTTCCCATGGCTCATACACCTACCTTACACACCCCTGGACACTATGAGCAATTTAGCATGGTCAATCCACCTAACCTACACATCTTTGGACCGTGGGAGTAAACCGGAGCACCCAGAGGAAACCCATGCAGACACGGGGAGAATGTTCCACACAGACAGTCGCTCAAGGGTGGAATTGAACCTGGGTCCCTGGTGCTGTGAGGTAGCAGTACTAATCACTGAGCCACCGTGCCACCCTTTTTTGCCCCTGCTCTCCCCTGTCAGTGACATCCCACCCCACCCTCTCACTGCCAATTATTTTCAGTCTCCTGATTAATAAAAGTTGAAGCCACAGCAGATGTAAAAATAAAGTTGGTATTAATAATTCAAGGTCAGTGTATCATTTCAGAACAGTTTTCTCAAACTGCTATTTTTAACTTATCTACACTGATCTCCTTTTTGGCCTAGTCAATAGATTAGTCAGTGTTCCCTTGCATTAATTAGCATGCAAAATCCTGACAATAATTTGCTAACATCTGATAAACCTTTGCAACCTGTAAAGGTTTACTTCTCTATGACACTCCTGCATCAGTATTGATGTCTTTCATGTTAAACGAAGACGAGCATCTGGAATTTAATTGGGACAAGCCTTCACCCTTCCAAATTGGCATCCAAATCTAACTCTACGACATACTCTTTCATTTATAATCACATACCTTTTGTGCTAATAAGGGAGATCCAGGTATTGGTTGCCAGTAGCCTCTCTTTGTACAAGCTGTTGTTCGAACATCTCTAGAACTCGACATCTATTTTGTACTGTATCAAATCACAGGTTACAACATACTTCTTGGTGCTTTTGAGATTCAAGGAAAACCAAATTCCAAACAAAATCCTGTAAAATGGATGGTGGAGTTTATTGCTGATATGTATTTTTTGTGAAAATTCAGCAGCTCTCTACAAGTTCATTCCATTTCACAACTGACTGGAACATGTGTCCATCAGTAACATGTAGAGGACCACCAAATAAAATAACTCCTCTACACCAAGCAATACTGTAAACAGATTATATCTTTGGCAGGTCAGTTCTGGAGGGAAATATTTCCAACCCCCAACAGCTGTTTTCCTCCTCCATATCCAGGGTGGGTGGAGAATCCAAAATTAAGAAAATAAATCACCTATCTTTCTTCTTTGTTATATGTATTACAGGGGACAGGTATTTGGCTTTGATTAGTTTACTTCTGATCCAGTAAGCTAACATGTGCAAAAGTGTTTTATACTGTGGGCATTACCCACCAAATGGTTTGCTCAGAATTCACTGTTGCCCTTTGTGAAGAACACCCAGTTTCCTACAGTCAGGTTGATTGTTTATCAGTTTAACTATTTTCATGTCAAATAGTAGTTTGATTAATCCTTGTTAGTCAAATTGAGATTCTGAGGAGCAATTACATTTTAGAATAATTGACTTAAAATAGACTTTCAGCTATTAATAACTATTAAGGTTGATCCAATACATTAATATCAAACCTTGCTGAGTAACTTTCTTTTTTACAGGTTAAGCTCCACCACCCTGACACTGAAGAACTTGCTTTCCTGTATGGGACTATATTAACTGATGGAAAAGATGCATTTTCAGAAGAGCCAACGGCAAATATCTGTGTTTTTGCAGATGCTCAGGTAGATAAAATAACTGAGTAAAATTTATTAAAGTAAACATTATGATTTTCAGTAATTTCAGTTAGCCGAACTAGTATAAGGTGGCATAAAAAAAATCTTTGAATCTTGGTCTTGAAATTCTCAAACTTGTTTATTTTTAGGAATGAGATAGTAGGAACTACCAATGCTGGAGAATCTGAGAAAGCAAAGTGTAGAGTTGAATGAACACAGAAATGGATTTCTGAAGAAGGGTCCAGACCCGAAATGTCAGCTTTCCTGCTCCTCTGATGCTGCTTGGCCTACTGTGTTCATCTAGCTCTTATACCTTGTTATCTCTTATTTTTCAGAATATCAGTTTACAATTGAAGTTTATTAATCAAATTGTACATCACATGCTTTGTGCAATAAAGGGAAAAGAAAGTATCCTCCCAGGCTTATTCAAAATGTTCTTGCTTTTCTGTATAAATTGAATTGATGAGCTCTCTTGAAATGTGATAATTTTGGAAATGTCTCATTTTCTTGCTATCAGTTGAACTTTTCCTCACTGAGGGCAGCACCAGGAAAATCCATTATAGGGCAAATTTTCACATGCATTGGGGTAACTCTTGAAAAATTAAGAGCTATGATTTAAAAATGAGCTGCGTACTACCTAAACAATAGTGACGATAGTTGGAACTTCCACCCCTATCTTTGCAATGTTTTCTAACATTAAATACTTTTTAATATTTACAAAATCAAAATAACCTCTCCATCATTTTAGCTGAGGAAAATCAACAGGTTGGATGGCTGAAATCAAATAAAAAGTTGCAATCTTACTAGACCATAGGACTTCTCTCTCAGTAGTGGTTTAATCTAAGGCAAGGGAAGAGCTGGAGAAGAAGAATTCTTCATAGTAACCTCAGCCAGTACAGGAATTGAACCCATGCTGTTGGCATCACTCTGCGTTGCAAACCCAGCTGTCCAATCAACTGAGCTAACCAAACCCCAATCAAATATAATTCATTAATAAAAAACAGTTCAAACATTTATTGTGTATCTTTAATAGGTTGACAGAAGTCCTTGCGGCTCGGGTGTGACAGCTCGTGTTGCGCTGCAGTACCACAAAGGATTGATACCCCTGAATCAAATGAGGACGTTTCAGAGCGGTCCAACAAGCTCACTGTTCACAGCAAAAGCTGTAGAGGTAATTGACATAAATAATGTTGCTTTTTGAAACCCAATACAGCTATTTTGACCCAAGCCATAATGCTTAGCTGTATTTATCTTTTCTATCATTATGAAGAGCCAATAATCTATACCAACTGTATTTGGAAATTATAGCAATATGGTATTCACCACAAAATGTAGAAATTAACTTGAGCTTCAGAAAATAATGTTTATTGGAAATTCCATTTTTAATTGCTTGCGAATTTTTCTTCTAATTAATCCTTCTGATTTCTGAAATTATTTTAAACATTCCTCAAAGTTTATGGTTCCAAATATCAACAGTAAAGGAAGTATACAAACATTTTACAGACTGATCCAATTTTTCAAGTATTAAACAAAATGCAGTTTCCATCTGTGTGGCACCCAGAGCTAGTCTCATTCCCTGTCCTCTGTGTACTCTGCAAGCAGGTTAAAAGTTTTCCATTGCACTACCCAGAATCATTATCAGTATTAACTTTTGGAATATTAGTTGAGAGACAATTCAAATATCTGTTTTTTTTAAAAAACTAACCTTCAAATTTAATCAGCATTTAGTCACCATTATACTGAGCTCCAGTTTAAAAACGTGTGTCTTTCCACTGCACCACTTAAAGGTGATATTCTGTCTAAATTGATATCTCATATATAGCCCAGAAATGCATTTGGATTAAAAAAAAAGCAAAATTCTTTTTCCTATTAATTTAGTGTGTATGGTGTGCTTCACTGTAAGATTCTGTCTGCATTATTAGAATAACATAGCATAGCCTTAGGACAAGAGAGAAAGTTCATTTCTTGAAGCTTTCCATTTTACACTCATCAGAATTAGCTCACAAGAAGCAAGCTGGAATAAAGAGACACATTTTATACAACATGAGAGAGGTTGGAGATTGTTTGTGCCATAATTGGCAAGGAAATGCAGAAACAGCTGTCAATCTTAACACTCAGCCTTATTGATTGTCATTGGTCAGGGCACTGCAATGGGGATGCAGCAGAATTTGACTGTCTCCAATATCCCTCTTTATTGAAATTGGTTCAATATATGTGCATTTTGATTTTGCCCCTCCCTCCTTTCCCTCACTTTTGGTTTATTGCACTGGCCTTAATGGGCTTTCCACGTTAATGTGGCAATTTAACTGGAAAACACGAGCATTTAGTAGTGGTGGATACAGGTTAAAAATGACACAGGTAATGGGGGAAATAAAAAAAATTCTGTTGTGCGTGAAAGCATTTCTGAATGGAAACAAAAAGGGCCTGAAGAAAGGGGTTTGGAGATGGATGGTAGAACAAAGGATTAAAGGTTGTTTTTTTTTTTCAGGAAAGAGGTGATGGTGGCAGATTAAAAAGAGAGGGACAACACCTGAGGAGAGAGGCATTAACAAATGGTGCCCAATCAACCAATCTTTAATATTCACTCCTTCACCACTGATGTACAGTGGTAGCAGGGTATATCATCTACAGGATGCACTACAGTAACTCAAAATTACTTTGAAAGCACCTTCCAACTGTGCAACCTCTGCCACTAAGAAGCTCAAGGGCTGCAGGTGAATGGCAGCACCACCACCTGCAAGTTGCCCTCTAAAGCCACTCACCACTGTGACTTGGAACTATATCAATGGTCCTTCATTGTCCCTGACTGAAAATCCTGGAACTCCCTTTCCTGTGCCCCAGGGGTGTTCAAGAAGGCATTTTCATCAGGGCAGCTAGGGGTGGGAGATAAGTTCTGACTTAGTCCACCTCCCATGAATTATATATTAAAAAGCTAAAGAATTGTAAGTAGACTATTCAGCTCAGAAGCACAAAACTACCATTATTTCTTTTAAAAACAAAACAGTTTTGAATTAATTTGGACAAGTAACTAACTATTAAGAAATATTAAAAACTAGTCAAAACCAAAGGATTTTTGATAGTTATGAGAATTAGAGTCCACATGACATTAAATGCTTGTGTATAACACAAAATACAGCAACACCTGCCCTGTTCTATTTATATGGTAACTGCTGTGTATTACCTGCCAACCATGAGCAATATTATAAAAAAGGACTGATAGAAATAGTTTTATTTTCTCCCCTCCACCCCACCCAGGAAACTAAGTGTGGCGACTTTAAAGCTGTTATAGTGGAAGTATCAGGACAAGCACATTACACAGGAACAGCAAGTTTTTATGTGGAAGATGATGATGATCTGAAAGATGGATTTCTGCTCCGATAAGAATTTTAAAAAATCAATTGTCGTTAAGAATCAAACGGGTATTTTAAAAACAGTAATTTCTAAACCTCCCATCTTTCCAAATGCAATTTAGCATTCTTAATTTGAATCTTATTATCTCGAGGGCATTGAGTTATTCTTGTATAATTGTTTGCGTCATGTGTTTAGTAACCGGTTAATCATGAGTTAAATATTTACAATGGGCAATGAACCAATTACGTATTTCACACCAGAAATGTTTCATACTGAGTAAATCTATCTGGTATTTCAATCTGAACAAAGTGCTTTCCCATTAATTGCACTTAAGTGTATCATGCAATGGAACTCTGTGCAGTGTTAATTGTGAGGATACAGTATAGGCAGACAAGGATGCTAGTCTGCAAAATATTTCTAATGGTTTTGAATCACAATATACTTATGCTGCTATTGAAGTTATTAATCTGAATCTCTGACTATGTACTGAAAACATAGGAACTGTAAATCATTGCCTTCTAGTATCACCACAAACATTTTAAAATTGCTATAACCTGAAATTTCTATTAGTTTAGTATTAATGTTTAATAATTGTTAACCTATTATGCATAATTCTGTATCTTACTACTAGGTAAATTAGATTTCTGTTTTGTATGATTTTAATTTGAGTGATACTGGCAAATCTGGCCAATCTGTTACAAAGTTATTTGTGATATTTGATTTAATTTTATTTAATTAAAGCATTGGAGAACAATAAAGTACATTGCAAAACTAAATGCATTAGAGTTGGACATTGTAATATGATATTATAATAGTTGGCTGTACAGGGCTCTCAAATTTACATATGTCCAGCATATGAACGTTTCCTGTACTTTTGAGCAGCAACTTTATGTCCTGCTTTTTGTTCAGACTTGCATACAAATCAATTTGTGAACAGACTCAAGAATGAACCCATTTATAACCCAGGGACTGCCTATACAATACAAAGCCAGATTAAGTGAACCATAAAATTGGTCGCATATTGTCCAGGGTATTGAGAATCAGCTTCATATTGAGATTGAAATGCTGTGACAAGTAGGAAACTATATTTCAATGTAGTATATGGTCAAAACAGTTACAACATTATTCAAAAGCTTTTAATAAATCAAAATCTCATTTATAAATTTGCTCAATACTTACCTGATTTCTTGTTGGACATAGCTGGATTTTGATAAAGCCATTCAGTAATATATCGGAATATCCTTAAGCAAGGGAACAATTAACATTACAATTCAAAGGTATAACAATACAAGTTGAACACAGAATCTTCTGATGCTTCTGTTACATGTTCAAATATCATCAAGTGCTTCACAGGTAAAGTTGTCAGTTCAGTGTTGCGTCGACCAATAAGATTACAGGTTTCATACCAAATGAGTCTGTTCTTTATAGAATCCTCGATTAATAAAGTGAAAACATACTGGTCTCTTGCACACCCCTAATTTTGATTGAGAGAGCATCATTGGTCATGTTTTGAGCAGCCTGAGCCCTAAGCTGTGGAATTTCCTTCATAAAATTCTCCGCCTTTCATCATAAAAAATACTTTTAAAACCTATTTGTGTAACCACGCTTTTGTTTACCTATCATAACTATTTCCTTATGTGGCAAGGTGTCAAATTTTGTTTGTAAAATGTCCAAGGCATTATCAATGTTAAAGATGCTATAAAGCTACAAGCTGTAGTTGCTAATAACTGCACATCAATTCATACAGGAGTGCACCAATACATTAAACACTGGGTGAAGATGGGTTCAGTTTTAGCTCTGATGTCCTCTACAGTTTGATTGTCTACTGGTTCACAATGAAATATGGCCAAACGATGAGGTTAAAAAAAAGGTGACTGTCTTTGGGGAGAAGGGCAACCAAAAACCAAATTACTCAATATTTGGGATCTAATAGGAAAATGTCTGCAACCCTTTGAACTTGTCTGCTGAAGGAAACTGGCTTCAAGGTAATTTGAACATACTGCTTTCTAATGTGTAGTCAGACACACAAACTCTGAATGAGGTCACTACATTAACAGTTATTGTGTCAGTGTGGCAAAGGGTACAGTAAATGTAACTGCTACCCATTGAGTTCATTAATTATACTAAAAATTGGCTAAGCATAATTTTAGAGGAGTTTAATGGAGGGTCAGCTCTAGTACTTTATCACGCAAGTTTATACAGTTCGCTTTGTTTCATATGTACCATATCTCTATGCAGTGAAAGTACTTAGCACTGCCAGGACCTATCGATTCCATATTTAAAACCCAATCGTGCATCAGGCCAAATGCTGCCAGCCAGGAATTTCCCTTCACAGTGCACTTAGTACGAGGAAAATAAAAGAAAACAAGCTTTTAACAAAGTGGCAGGTGTGACACTTCACAAATACAAGCTCACATTCATAAATGCATTGCTATTTTACATCATCACCTGCCTAATTGACAATCGTTGTAATTGCAGCCACAAGGATCATTTTACACACATTACCTGTCCTTACTGCCATACCAATTCAGAATTCTGTCTAAAGGACTGTTACTCCTTTCCTGCAACCAGCAAACTATAACATCTTGTCATCGTTCAATACAGGAGCATTACATGGTGGAAAAACTTCAAGCAGTTTAAACCCCTAAATTTTTTTGAACAGAAGTAGCAAAGAGAAAATAAAGTTGCATTTGCTTCTGAGACCGACAGTGGTGGATTACTTTTTCAGCAAACCCAAACTAACTGTTAATGAATGATCACCGCACCCAGCTCATATCCATTAGAACCAGGTGTCAGTTAAGTCCTGCCTGGTTTCTTGTGCCTAGTGCTGCAGTACTATATCTTGCTGAAGATAATATTCCTTCTGCTCAATGTCTTCATTTTCCTCAGAAGATAGATTCCATTCTCCCAGCTGTTCAGTGTCCATCAAATTCCCTCTTTGCCTGCTCTTTTGGCACATGGGTTCAAGGGACCATAGACCTACACCTATTGGGTACAAAACATTTTGTGATTTAATATTTGTTTGCCCATCTCCCAAAGAGACACTCACCCTATCTTTATCTCACTAGGTGGCCATCTTTCAATGTGAACCAGCAGGCTAGGATTATGTAGCACCCGCTGTCTAGAACATACTAAAAGACCTCCCCCACCCCCCCCACCCCCGCTTGACTGATCCAAGCATCGGAACCTCACCTTTGGGTAGCTATTGTCTGCTCTACAATAGCCCTATTCGGAGAATGGGTTGAATTGTTTCCACGTTCAGAGTCAGTCAGCAGTTATGTAATGGAGTCATCAGCCACATTTGCTAAGGATAGTCATCTCCCAGTAACATATTTGTAAGGTATCTGGCACTTGAAACAAAACAGGAATGTGAGTTCTGAGAATATAAGCATCATGGCAGCTTCCACGGAGCTATCACAAATGGCTTGTATATTATGGAATGGAACCCTTTAATGTTAATGAAGTCTGCCTTATGATACTCTCAATGCAGTCTAGAGCACTCAGTACCTGGGAGATGTCACCTTTGTTGGAAAACCTTACAGTCAGAATGCATCAATAACTTCATCTTGGAGAACCAAGATGGAGTGGTATGATCTGGCACAAATTGCGTAGATATCTGTAGGATCGTATTTCAAATAATGACCGAAATCAGTGAGTAGCGAAAATAGCCTCTTTATTGAGTATCCAGAGTAACACAGTTTGAGGCGGCGATGGAATCCCAAAGTACAGTTCTTACATATATTAAAATTCTATCACTATGGTGATGCACAATTTTATCTATTGTACATTTGTTAAGTGCTGGCTGCTACTTGGATTAGAGTGTGTGTATGGTCTGTTTGCATAATTAAAAGATAGAAGGACTAACACCTCTTAAGTTAGTAAAAATACTAGACCTATGTGATTTAAATAAGTTAGAAATGATACATGCACTGAATAAAAGTATAAAGGATATTAAACTGATTACCCCAGCTGGATCATGAGATAGTTTACTATTTGCCGGTGGATTTCATTCATTCATACAATTTCACAGAAGCGCTATTTTGATCGTAACTTTCGTAAAGGGGATAGAGGCCATATTCAATATGCATTTAACAGTATATGCTAGTGGAGGATGTTCTGCAACCTATTCAAGTCCCGAGAGACGGTTGCTAAGGGCCTGATTAATATTATAATCTTTCCATAGTTTTGGATGGGTTGTGGAGACATTACGGCAGTGAGGGATGATTGGTCTTTGATATTTATTCAGAGGTAGCTTTTGATGTAAATAGATCAGATAAGAGTTGAAGGTGTGAAGAAGCAGTAACGGGTGTGGAAGGAATGTTTTAATTTAGTCCATCTTGCAATAGTAAAATGCACTACAGAAGTCATGGTTTTATGAATGAATGAATGAAAACATCTTATAGTAAACAGCGAGTTAGTAAAGGGTTATGAATGAATGGGAATGCAGTATTAGTAAATATAGCAAGCTGGTGAGTGAGTTAGTAAAGAGACCTACAATATAATATCTCACATATCAGACTTGATATATTCAGTCGAAGATTAAGATTCCACACAGGCACATGAATCCTTCAATGCAGGTAGTTGCATAAAATAACTTAGTGCAGTTGTCAGCTAGATGGCCTTTGGGATAGGATGGCAACCCACTCTTTCAGGTCACATGTCCCACTTCAGCAGATAACACACTCATCTGGAAGAAATGGCATTGAGGATAAAAGACTCTAGGCCTTCTGTATCTCTTCCACATCCCAAGGGAAACTTCAGCTGCAATCTCTTCATGTGGAGTCTGTTCATAGCCACAAGAGATTGCTGCAGCCCCCAGGTTTGCTGGCGTACCTGCTCCTCCTTCATTTATCTGCATCTTTGTAGCACCATGGCTGGAACCATTGGTCACGCTTCCAACAAATCTGTTGGGGAACAGATTCTTAGTATTCTAATCTCACATAGATGATGATTTAGAAAAGTTCTCAATACACTGGTACATGGAGAAATTTGACAAGGATGGCCATAGACTGCCTGTCCATGAACTTTTAATGTAGGAGTCTTGTTTTCAGCACAAACTATCCAACACAGATACAATGGACAATTGTAAACACAGTAGGATTACTGAAACCTTGTTCTGAGGAAGGGTCACCGGACCCGAAACATTAACTCTGTTTTTTCCTTCACAGATGCTGCCAGACCTGCTGAACTTTTCCAGCAGCTTCTGTTTTTGCTCCTGATTTACAGCATCCACAATTCTTTTGGTTTTTATTTAGGATTACTGAAACCTTGTTCCCACAACCAACATTATCTGAGTGAGGAGGTATTGCACATAAAAGCACATGGAAAATACACACAATTCAAGGCGAGAGGAAATCAGTTCCATGTCCATGTGCAGCCTGTGAAGCCTAGGATTGTCTCTGGGACTTGTGGCTTACAGGCAAGACTTTTAAGGTCATGTATGACTGCTTCTATTTTAAAGAGATTAATGAAATCAATCTGAAATGACCAAATTACGTGGTCAAGATAACTTGTTGTCAGGATTTGTATTCACACTGCATGCATTTCACATGCAGAGCACTATAATTACAGATGTCTTCAACCTGTAAAGTGCAACAGCCTGATTAACGGGTAATTGCCCCTTGAAGGGTCTCACATCACTCACATGTAGAGCTCCTGTGCTCATGTAGAAAATAATTATTTATCAAGCTGTGGTCACAGCAATTTCCATTGCTTTTGAGCATGGAAGATGACACAAGTCACATTCTGCAGAGTGAGTCATAGGCTTTGAAATCTT